TTTTTGACACCTTTACGGCACTCACAAACATTTAAAATAAATACAGGCCACAATCTTTAAGTGGTAGTCTCCAAAATTAAACCAAGAAAAGACTTTAAATGTAACTTAAATATTTTGCACACCAATCTCATTAGGTGAGGTTAATATTAATAAATAAGACTGTTGCACTTTTTGTGTTGTCAATGTGCTTGTAGACCTGTTGGTTTGTGTGAGCCATTGTGCACAACGTTTGTATGATTATAGCCACTTCCGAAAAGAGTGGGGGTCGCGAGTCATTGGTATTGTTATTTTCGGGGTCACTGTCTAAAGTTTGAGAGCCCCTGAGCTAAAGAAGCAGTATCAACAGATATTACGTAGACAGTCTACTAATACTCAAATGGACAGTCAAAATAAATTGTTACCAACTAAATAAATAAAAAGAGAAAGAAAATACACACATTGCACAGTATGTTTGACATTCGTTGGTAATAAACATTGTTGAGTTTGATGTATAAGTCTCTGCTATCTCTAGAGTGTTTTTAAAGTTTTACTTTAAAATGTCTCACAATAATGTTTTATACCTTTTTAAAACTGCCCCTTTTAGAGTTTATCGAAATTTTATTTTGGTGAGAGTCGCTTTAAATTCAAATGAGATTGTGCTTCCAGCTCTCTTTGTTAATTTGTGCATCTTAAAATTGGACATTCGTAATGACTCTAAGTTGCTGACATTATCATTGGCAGGTACGGTGGGAGAACTTTCATAGCGGACAGCAGCTTGTCATTCAGGGCTGTTTATGCTAATGAGGGAGAGATCATCACTAATATGCGGGACTTCCCTACTCTGATGACATTTACAAAGGGAGAATGTCAATTAAAGTGTATCTCTGTGTGATTATAAAAAAATATAATTAAAACACGGCTGGCTACATTCACACACCTTTAAATACAGTCAAAATAAACAAACAAACCGATGATGTGTGTAAATGATGACAAATTGTGACTGCCTGGTTTCACTGTACAGAATACACGTTCATTTCAATGGTATCAACAAACCGTGACTGCTCATTGATTTGAAGTTAAATGTATTTCTCTGAACTGCCAGTCTCGTTAATGAGCTGTTTTAATGTGTGAGCACATAGTAATGTGTGTAACTGCTAACATGAATGCATGATCTCCATAAATCACACACGATTGCCCAAAAACTTCAGCTTTGTATTCATGAAAGAGTTTGTATCTGTTTGAATTTCAGATGTGACCTTTGTTGTGTAAATGTCAGGATGGGTAGAATGAAGCCGCGTGGGAATCCCAGTCAGCGTTACGTAACCATCTGCTCTGCATCACAAGAGAAAATCTGTTTTAATACATTATACTTCAGATATTTCATTAGAATAATCTGAATACTGTGTGATGATAATGCATATACAAGTGATATATTTGGACTACTATTATTCCTTATCTCTAATCATCACTTTAGTATGAAACCTTCAATATTTAGAGAGAAAAGTAAAAGAAATAACAATTATGACACTTTTTAATGGATATAAACTTAAAGTTGATCCATTTCAAGTTGTGAGGCGTAGAAATTATTTTTTAGCATTTCATTTATTAGCATGATGTCAAAACAGGTTGTTTGTCCTTATTCTTGTTGTAATATTAATTTACGTTTTGGATATTATTTGCATGACAAAGTTAGCAATTACTGTAGCATTTCCAATGTTGTTATTAGATGAGATGTCAGAACATCAAGTACCTGATTTAATACAGCAAATAGGCACAAATTAGCACAAATCCGGTAAATTGGTGCAAATCACCAGTAAATTGATCAATGAAGGCCTTAGATAATCACAGTATGCGATTCATTTAAACACAGTACTATCCTCCAACACATTTTGCATCTAAAAAGAACACTTGCATTGCTGTCAGTCACAAAAATAATTGTAATCATTAATTTCTCGCTGTCAGTAGTTTTCTTTTTAACTAAAAGAGCTTTTGCACTAGCTCAAGCTGTTAGTAAATGGGTCCCTAAACATCATCATGCAAGAATGTTACAATTCCTGTAAACAGTTTTAACATAAAATACATAAAACATTTTTAAATATTCAAATAAAGACTGTGTTGTCAGAATTTTAGTGTTGGTGAAATTCGGGATGCAAATTAATTGATGCTTGACCCTTTATTTCTTATAAACTAGATGTTTGCATCATATAGCCTAAAAGTGATGTCAAATGAAACAATGTGTATTTTAATAGACCTCTATGTCTCGAATGCAGGGAAGTTATAAAGTAAACAGTAGGTGTGATATTTTATGATTATCTATTTATTGGTCGAGGGATGCAAACAGCTCATCACAGGTTACTGTATGACTGATCCACACTACCTGACAAAAGTCATGTCGCCTATTCAAATTTTAGGAACAACAAAAAATAACTTGACTTCTAGTTGATCATTTGGTATCAGAAGTGGCTTATATGAAAGGCAAATGCCTCTAGATTACACTCATTTTACCAAAATAAAATATGATCATTCCTTGGTTATTAATTATTTAATTAGGACAGTAAGGTCTGGCTTTGCTTAGACAAAAGTCTTGTCACTTAACAGAAATAATGCACAGTATAGAATATAAAGTCATGGTGCTTGAAGGACTCTGCATCCTTACATCTCTGCAATGACCCAGATAACTTGAGTCTAACTAATAAATTAACTAATAAATAAAGTCATCTGAAATGACAAAGAGAGCGTTCTTGCAGGACTCCCAGAGTTCATCAACATTATTTAGATTAATCTCTAAATAACCTCCTTCTTCATCTTACCCCAGACATGCTCAATGTTCATGCCTGGTCACTGGGCTGGCCAATCCTGGAGCACCTTGACCTTCTTTGCATTCAGGAACTTTGATGTGGAGGCTGAGGTATGAGAAGGAGCGCTATCCTGCTAAACAATTTGTCCTCTCCTGTGGTTTGTAATGTAATGGGCAGCACAAATGTCTTGATACCTCAGGCTGTTGATGGTGCCATGCACTCTGCAGATCTCTTGCATGCCCCCATACTGAATGTAACCCTAAACCATGATTTTTCCTTCACCAAACTTGACTGATTTCTATGAGAATCTTGGGTCCATGCAGGTTCCAATGGATCTTCTGCAGTATTTGTGATGATTGGGATGCAGTTCAACAGATGATTCATGGAAAACATCTAGCTTCTGCCACTTTTTCAAATGATCAACTAGAAGTCAAGTTACTATTTCCCAGATAGCAGGTAGTAATCGGCCCGAGCTCGGCTCTGGCTCGGCGGCTCCGACTCGGCATCGGCGAGTATTATCCGGGCCGAGTCTGGCACATGCGTTTGCGATGCGGCTGTTAAGCGCTGGCCCGATTCTGGCAAGGACTCGGCAAGTACTCGGCTTCTTTAACTCATGACTACCATAAAAACTCCTGATCCAAACTCCAATCCAGGTGGTGGCGGTAATGCTCTTACAACTGGGATCAACAACAAGACTTTTATATTTATAATATTTTACAAGATATTTTTCATGATACTAGTGTTCAGCTTAAAGTGCAATTTAAAGGCTTAACTAGGTTCATTAGGCAGGTTAGGGTAATTAGGCAAGTCATTGTCAAGATATTGACATTAAAATGGTTGCAAAACAAATTTGAACTGCTTTTTTTTTCCCAATCACAAATACTCAAATTACTGTAATTGAGTAGTTTTTCTCAGGAATTGTAATTCACTAAGTAGTTTTAAAAATGTGTACTTTTACTTTCCCTTGAGTACATTTTTAGTGCTGTATCGGTACTTTTACTCCACTATTTTCCTTCAACCTGTAGTCACTACTTTTTTTTATTGTCTATGGGGATTAGAAAAATAAGTCCTGTGATTCCTATATAATTAAATCGCACATAAAAAGTAAATCTCATCTTAATAAATTACTTCAAGACATGGGCGCCTTAACATTGCAGCAAACTGTATAAAAACATTAAAAGTGTCCAAGATGTACAAAATCTTTACACGCATTGACCCAGAGACTTTAGATTCATGTTACTGATGTGGAGATGACGGATGTTTACTGTATGATAACTGAAATGACCATAAACACCCAGCAGCAGGCACCAGACGTCAACATGAAGTAAATGGAAGTTGTACCTTAACGTTGTGGGGATGTGTTTTGCAAATGAAAATTGGTTTGACATCAGATTGACATCAATGTCCCACCTAAAATCAACCAAATATCAATGTCTAATGATGTTACAGCTTGACGTTGTGTGGACATTACCAATATGACATCTATCAAACATTGGATTTTGGTTGTCATACCTGACGAATAAATGTCAGTATTTGACGTCAATATGAGTTAAGATGTTAGCTTGACGTTGTATTTTGATCACTTTCCAACACAACGTAAAATCAACCAAATATCAACATTATTTGACGTTGTTATTGGTGATCAAAATAACGTTGTCCTTAGACGCTGACTAGACATTAAATTTTGGTCACCTAATGTCACGACCTAAATCTAAACTAATATTAACATCTTATGACATTGTGTGCCTGCTGGGCAATAACTAAATGCACTACAAAGTGTTACAATTACACACACCATAAATTGCTTTACTTTAAATACTTTTTAAAGGTCTTTTTTTTCTTTTACAACAGATACTTTTTTTACTCTTACTTGCTCTACAATTTTAAGTAGGTAAGTTAATGGTACTTTAACTGATTTTTCAGTACTCTTTCCACCACTGATCAATTTAAATCTAGCTTCAGCTAAACAGCTCATTAGCTACATCTGAAAATTGTGTGGTTAGCTACACTTTATTCTATGGTATCATTGTGTTAGTGTAAATATTCATCTTTACTGAGTAATATTAAATAATTGCATATATTAACTACATGATACATGTTATATAACAGTTCGAATACTTGCTAATGTTAATGAAGACAGCGTTTCCACGGTGAGGGTTTATTACCATACAGCTCCGTTGTGGTTGGTTGGCCGCAGTTGCGCGTCATCTGTGCTGTGAGTGGCGATGCTCCTCGCGCTGCTGTTTTTTTGGCGAGAAGAGATGCCGATAAAGATGATGGTGAGGATGAGGAGTATTTATCCATGTCTTGTCACATATAAGACACAGAGACAAAACGTAACGAGCTGCCTAGCAACACAGCCTCGCCGGGCATCACGGGCGCGCGCAGCAGCTCCAGCCCCATATGTGCTGTCTAGTTAGGCAGCTCACTAGGTTTTGAGACGTAGCCGGAGTGTTGTGGTATTTTTCTTATCCTCTTGCAGATATATCTGTGCAGCTGGAAGCATTGATGATTGTACTGATCGCAGGTTTGACATCAGCACCGCGAATCTCGCAGCACTGCAGCATGACCTTGGACGTGCAAACGGTGGCGGTGTTCACTGTTATCGCCATTCTGCTGCTGGTCAACGTGATTCTCATATTCTTCATGGGCTCCAGCTAAAGGGTCTTCAGCATGACTGACACACAGATCTGTGATCTGTGATCGTTTCTTGTCTTGGAAACACCTGGGGCTGTTTCACGGCTGCTCATATCTGCATTCTTCTCTATACAGCAGTGGACATGGTAAAATATTAGTTTTACAGTTACAATTTGAAGTGTGTGTGTGTGTGTTCACAGATATTTTTAATCAGCACATTGTATAAACTGAATTATTCTACAGCATCTTTGTGTTAAAGTAGTGTATAGTGTGCATGAATTATGAATATAAGCCATAGAGATGCTCCAGTGGGTCTGTTAGCGTTCATTTAATTAATATTCATGGCAAATGTTCTGAAACCATAACATATCAAATGCCATTTAACAGGACCATAAAGCATGTGTGATGTAATCCAATATTTATGAATAATTTATGTAAGATGCTGTACAGTCTTGCATTAGGGGAGTCAGCACAACATGCTAAGATTATTTCCAAAACACAACGAGCCAAAGAAATATAAATGTTTTCTATGGTCAGATATGATTCTGTGTATGGAGAAAGGTGCATTCACTATCTGTTAATTCATCATGTGTTTGATCAGGGCTCTGATCACATGCCAGCACACGTGGTGGCACATTCTGGCAAGTTATGAATTGTCAATTTGCCTGCCAGGAGCTGGCTTTATTTAACATCTAGATGGATTATTATAGCTTAGATGGTCTTGTGCTTCAAAAGGCACATCATATGCTTCAGATGTTAAGGAGGGCTGCTTGATGACAATGTGTTTGTGTGGGTAAACCTGTCTTTGGCAAGCTTGCGCGTCTTTCAGGGTTCCTCAATCAGGACGCAAGTCTGTTACATAATATTTTTTGCCATATCGAAGCTGAGTTTTCACTGAGGATGATTGTAGTTGGTTAGGACAGTTTTTTAGCCATTAAAACAATCACAAATGTGCATGTTGCTCCTACAGACATGTACCTTGTTTTGATTCTAATATGATGTGAACATTTGTACGTTTTCATTTCAGACGTTATTAGTTTTTTTGGCAATGTCTTACTAAAATAAAGTTAAGCTCATGTACCTCACAGCAAATATAAAACTGTCATGAAATGACAGATGAACATTAATATATTTATAATATATAATATATATATATATTTATTTTTGACATTGCGTTGTTGTTGTTTTTTTGGCTTGGTGCCGAATCTAATAGCATTTATCGGTGGACAATAATGAATGCACAAACATGAGAGGAACTGAGGGCGGTTATGTAACAATAATTTTCTGGGGCTCTGTAATGAGAGACGACTTCAAAGGTGTCTTAATATTATGATCTTTTTTTAATATTATGATCTATTTTTTTAGTGATTCACAGAGCAGCATAACATTTCTTTTCATATGTATTGGCACTAATCATTCATCTTTTTCAAAATATGATGCAAATGGATTGTGCAAATTGCTGATCTTCCTGTTGTTAGGTATTTATGGTGCTATGTACATCAGGTCTTCAGCATTTTATAAGTTTATTTATTATATTTGTACTAGTTTAAGACCAGAGAATGCTTCACACATTTGAGGCTGGTGTCAGAGCGAACCTGTGGCTGTTGTACGCTGCAGGGGAGTTCAGAGAAAGCCGTAGCCAAACGCTTTGACAGCATGCATGCATAAGCTGACACTGAGAGGAGCCATGTACTGAACAAGCGGCCTATCAAGAGCCACTACTCCTTATTGTTTTACTATTTGTAGCTCATGGGTGCCTCCAAAAAAAATGTTGAGACATCTCTGGTAAAGAGATCTATATAGAGTTTATAATAGTCAATAACAGTACATGAATGATGTGTTAATAAGTACAGTTGTACAGTGCTGTGAAAAGAAGCAGGATTAAGCTAGATAATTTAAAGCGATTGCTCCATATTTTAAATTTCTGTTCAGAGAGGTCATATTTTGATCCTTAATTAGTCTCACGCTGTCAAGTGATGCGATTTCGCTGGTAGAGTTCACCAAGCTTGAATTTTGCAATGCAGTGAACTGCATTACTTGACGCACGAACTTGCGTTGCCGGTCTTTCGCATTCGCGTGCGTGTGAATGGAAGTCTATGGGGAGAAAAGTCTAGTGTGACCGCAGCTTAACGGCTACTTTAATTACTTGTTAGTTTATGCTTGTTTGTTAATTAATGTATTATTTACCACATTGGTTTGCGATTGATTAAACCATCATGAACTCATGAGCTGTTAATGTATAATAATGTTTTGAGTTTACTTGGAGGGGCACATCATAGAGCTGCACAATTAATCGAAAAAAGATCGCAATCTCGATTCGACCCCCTAGAAGATCTTAATTTAGCATTTCTACGATTCTGCCAATCATATTTTTAATGTCAGGAGAGAAGCACAGGCAATGTATGTACATTGTTTTACATTCATTGTTCAGCAACATGGACAGTTGAAAGAGTCACATACTGTATTTATAAGGTATAATTCACCCAAAAATGCCATTTCTGTCTTCATGTAATGATGTATTTGTGGCCGCGAAACCACACGTGACGTGAGCTGCTGAAACAGACCGCAGTGACCACAGAGAGGGCGAGCGGGTAGGCACCTGTGTATGAAGTCTACTTTATGCCGAGTTCAGACTGCATGATTTTCAAAGTAGTCGTGTCACAGATGTTTTCACACTGCATGACTATCTGGGCTTGCGTTTTGTCGCTGCTTGTTTGCACTGCAAGATGGATCGGCGACAGGGGCTTTCAGATTGCATGACTTTACTATAGGAAGAATCGCCGACAACTTCGTCCAAACTACGTCTCACAGCCAAAAACACGTCGTATATCTTTTGTTATTAACATAATGAGAAAGAAGCCTTTAATGGGGTAGAACATGTACATGTTTGCTTACCTGGGTTTAAAGGGAATTAGCCATTTCTCCTCAACATTGATAATAAACTAATTTCTTTCTGTATGAAACGTCAAACAGACACGGTTGCTCTAGAGTCCTGTTAAACCTCCACTAGTTTTCCTCCATTTCGTGGGTCCAAATAAACCGAAAAAGAGCGCTTTTACCTTCTCCCCCAGCCTCCCACTGGCCTGCAGCAGGTATACACACACGCACACACAAGTGAAAGCTGCTCTCTCATTGGCTGTAGGCGATGGCTGATGTTATTTTCAGTCAAAACTCAATTCACACGGCATGATTTGAATCGCCGACAGCTCCAGATATTTAGCACGCCAAATATCTCACAGGCATCGGCAACTCATCGGCGATTCTTTCAGATCGCGTCTTTGAAAGTTCATACTGTGTGATTGTCACTCACGTGCACGAGCAGCGATTTGCCTGTGATTTCAGGCATTTGTCGGCGATTTCTTAAAACCTGTCGGCGAGCCAAAATCGGGGCTAAAATCACGCAGTCTGAACTAGGCATTAGTGAACAGAACCGCCATAGGCTGTGAATAACAGGTAATAGAGTTGTAAATGATATTCAATTTGTTGCACCTAGTGATCATTTGGGAGCCGCGCGGGAAGTATGAAGTGCACTTAGTGAAAATAAAACCGAAAGCGAGCACATCATTTAAATAATCATATCGCATTATAGAGTAATGATTGCGACAAGCGTTTGATTTGTTTTTTTTTCTTTCTTACCGAACACAAAGTGTTCTGCATGAGAATAAATGTTTAACAGTGTCAGTATAACTACTCTATGTTGTCAATGACAGATTGCAGGCATATGTCTCAAACATAATAATTCAACATCAGAACTATGAGGGTGATGCTCACGAAAACATAGTTTAAAAATTTTCAAACATGAATTTTTAAAAAATGTTTAAATTAAATTTTGAAAATTTTGATAATTGAAAAAGTCTGGAGCATTTGTCAACATTAATTTAAAAATATATACACATTATTTAGTACCTTTTTGAGCATAATTTCCAAAACAATTAATAAAAAAATCTCATTACCGCAACAGTCTGCTAAATTGATTATTACAAAAAAGCAAATTCATTGTGACATTTTTTTAAAAAGAGATTATTAACAGTGATGTGAAATTATTTTAGATTCTAAAATAACATTTATTTTTAAATTAACAGGGTTTTTTATTTTTATTGTTTTTTCTCATTACCGAAACACTGTACACAACTGACAACACTTTTTTTTATGTATTTTGATAAAACCTGATGTGTTTTCAAAATAATGTGGCTAACCTGAAAGGACATAATTTGCAGATTATGCACATGCATTGAAAAGCAAATGATTAAAACATATTAATAAAATATCACTTAAGGAACATTGGTTGCGGTAATGATAAATAGGTTGCAGAATTTAGGTTAATTATTTCAACATTGATTTTAAGTATATTATTAGATTTTGTTAAACATTTAATGTAGAAAAAACAACACTGCATTACAAATTTGCTTTATTATTAGTGCTTTAAAACATAACTTTAATTTCAAAGAAAAATGTCCATTTGCTTGGATAAGCTGAAATAAATCATCATCCTCACTAGATAGTGTGGTCTCTAGTACAGCTTTAACCCTCCCTTCCCTTATTCCCTTGGAAATCAACTTTGTGGGCTTAGCCAGTCAAAAAGGGATGAACAACTAAAGTACCCACAGTTTTTTGCTTCTTATTTTTAGCTAAAATGATTTAGCAATCATATTTATATAATACATTGTTTTTGCTACATTCATTCTTCCATGGCGGGACGCCACGCCAAAATTCATCCCACCACGACTACATTACAGCTGAATAGTTTTATATTATGTTATATATTATATATATTAGTTATATATTCATGAATAGTTGTATTCTGATGTCATCACTGTACTGTGCATTAAGGACCAGAACAAATTTAATGTCTGTTCAAATCCACCATTTCAAGTCTATACAAAATTTTGTATTGTAAGAAACAGTAGACATTCACATAATATTATTATAGATTTTTTACCGTATCTTTGAAAAATACCAATAATAATAGCTGACTCATATTAACCTTTATTTAACATCTACAGAATCATGAGAAAATTGTGATCTTTATTTTATGCAAAAAATCATGATTCTCATTTTAGCCAGGGTCGTGCAGCTCTAGCACATCATCATTAATTCATTCTTAACAACTAATGAACTTATGCACGTCCATCTAGTGCAATTACAC